TAGTATACCAACCACATGACAGTGAACCAAGTGCTAAACTTTGTTGAATTCAACCTAATGACCCTTGCATTGTGGTTCTCATCCAATGAGGTGGAGGATAAAATGTAGCTTGAAAAAGCTATGTAGCTGAGAAGGAAGGAGTCATGGAAGAATAAAGGAAGCACTTCTTCATCAGGCGAAGAAGAACCAGGTAGAAGAAGGGCATGAAAGTTAGAGAAACAAGATAGTCCCAAGTTCAAAATATTTTCATGAATCTGCAGTTTTTATTTAAAGTAAAGTCATTGATGAATTGATTTTTATTGTGCAAAATTATCTTTTGATGAATTTAGGAGCTTCGATGGACTGCTTCCAAGCGGAGTTTAAACAAAACATTCTTGGATTTGATGTTAAGGATTCCTCTAAGTATTCGTCAACCTAAGGAAATTCCCAACCATATTCTTTGGGATTCATTCTTCTTATTGAAAGAGAAGAGGCTAGTTGGCCCTGTCCACTGTTGCTAACTACACCAATGAAATAGGTTGAAGCAAAAAGCTTGAAGGAAGGCCAGGATCAAGGGGAGCTTGAGGTGGCATCTGCTTTAGATTGTGAGTCAGATGCAACTGTAGTAGAGTAGCATCAAAGGAAGGGCAAGGCTCTGGCCCCAAATTCTACTTCATCCTTTCAATTGCCTCTAAAAAGAAGTAGATAGGAGGAAAGGATAATTGGAGTTTGTTGCAGGATAAAGGACCAAAGGTCTTTTTTTAATTTGAACTCCAACTTTGCATTAATAAACATCCTTAGGGACTAGTTTCCCCATGCCCTAGAATGGATGAATATGCATCAACCATCACAATTGTTCTTGGCTTGAGGGCCTTCAAAAATGTTTAAATAACTTTGCTCCGTAGAGCTATGTCATATGGCCAATCAGTATTAACTGCTCAAATTTTTCTCAACACACCACCTATCCTCCCTATATTTGGATGTTAGAGAAAAGCCTTGAATGCCAAGGCGAAGATCAAAGTGCTTAAGGAATAAGCTAGAGTAGGCATATGATCGAGCATCTATGGCAGTAAGCTTAGTTGGACGATGTTGAATCAAACTTGGAAAGAGGGTCAGAGTGGTTGTTTTTTGTCTAGTAGGAGACAACTGAACTAATATATTAGATGGCCACAATGAGGATGACCTGAAAGTTCTTTAATACTCGGTTTGTTCATTTAAAAGAGGGTGGCAATGTTGTGATAGACCAATTTGTCATAGTTGGAATGGCTACCTCAATTACTTTGACTTTAATAAGTCCAAGAAATTCTTGATTTCTCATTCTTATTCAAAACACAGAGAAGGTTCTGATGGTGATAAAGTGGCAGACAACGGATCATCCAACACACTACCCACAACTCCTAAACTTAAGGTTTTTTTTTCTTTTCTTTTTTTATATGTAACTGAGACTATGTATATGAAAGGTTTTTTCTTTATAGAAATACATGTAACTGAACCTTTTATATGAATGAAATAGGATGTTTGGTCAATTTTACCTATTCTTACTTTTATTTCTTTACCACTCTTACTATATTATGATGTCACTTTGTTCTCTACTTATTAGTTGATTTTGAAGTATTCTCCACCTGGCTCAAGTCTTAATTTTCATGCATGAGTGTTAAAGGTCAATTTTTAGTTTTTGTACACTGATTTGACATCATGATGTCGCTATTAGTCATTTAATATTTTTGTCAATCGCTTGGACGACATGTGTTGCATCGGTTTATTTTAGGGTTTCAATTCTTAGCTTAGGAAGACCTAAGTTTTAGTTGTTTAGCTAGACCGACACTTTTTGCAATTGCACTAATTCTCGTAATGGTGTAGTCATAGATACTTTTCTAGGGTGATTTTATCAGAACCTTTTGCGAAGGTTTAACCACCTCAATGAATTTGTTTACACCAAAGTTGGAAACTCAAGTTTAAGGAGTATTGCAGCTTGCCACGTTAGTGCTTCTATTGATCAGCTTTTAGGGAACTCTAGTTCCCCAAGTGTTTTCTCAATGCTAGGTGCATCAAACTTCCAAGTTTCCCAAGTGTTGTTCAAACCTCATGTCAGAATCACAAGATTAGCTAAAGCTTTTCTTAGCTTTATGTTAAAATAAAAATTTACAGGTGTTGGAAGTGAAAAAACCTCTTATATGTTTTTCTTTTATTGGTACAGTACAATTGGTTTAAGGAAAGTTTATTTTGAGATAATATTTGCTCCATGTGTGGTGAAACTTTTTCTTGGTGAAAGTTTTCAACTTATAGGCTCCTGAGGCAATTTTTTCATCAATAATTAATTAACTGATCTAAGTTGATCAAATTTTTTGACCAATTGCCCTCATGCTGCAGGTTTGAATTTCTTTAGAATTAGGTCGTCAGGCATGAATGCATTTTATTGGAAATTCTTGTTGTAGTATCAGACAATCCTTCTCTTTACTTCTTCTGACCGTAGTGTTGTGTTGATTTAACTTTCATCTAATAGGTAAAGTGTGAGAGTGTTTGTTGAACTCAGTTTTGTGAGGTTTATCCACTCTTTTGGAGCCTAGGATCCAACCTTATGATTTTCTAATACCATTATTAAATGACTAGAGATGACACCACCCCCTCCCCTTAAATTGTCAATCAAAGCTATGCTTAGTTAGGGTTCCAAATGCTAGACACCAATTCTCTAACTTTTGGTTAAGATGATTAGTGTTTTGTTATTGGAGCCCAAGTTGAGTTCCTGTAGGATGCAAATGCCCTAGGTATCCTTTTGACTCTAAAGGCTTAAGTTTCCCTTTTTGGTGACACACTTTGCATCCCTAAGGTTTGATGATCCTTATTTGATTTAAAAGAAGTACATTTGGCATGAGGCTAATTTTAGACCAAATGAGGGATCAACTCTTTGTAAAAACCATAACATTAAAGTCTAGTAGTTCTCAAACTATGCATATACAAAATAGAGACCTCTTAAACAGAAACTAACTACTAAAACGAAAACACAATACAATCAAATAAGCATAAAACAAAATATTTATAGTTTTTATAGAATAAAAGTTAAAAATAATTAAACATGAATAATGTACATTACAAGTTTTCAAGTCTAAGACCTAGAAGTACAACTAAAATTTTCCTAATTCAAATTCACTAATGTTCCCCAACAACGGTGCCAAAAACCTGACACACACCAATGTTGCAACGTACAGATGGCTCATGCAAGTGCACATGTCATATCAATAATATCAGAATTAGAGTCTGGAAAGTCGATCACTCAGGGAACAAGGTAATTCTTTTAGGAAAAGATCTAGCTTACATGTTTTAATCTTAGCTTGAAAATTGGATTTTGTTAAAGCCCTATGAAAGCAATCCTAACGTATCACTAGTAAATTGAAAGGTTGAAGTCTTAAAAATCAATCCTAACTTATTACAATTAAATTGAAAGGCGCCAAATACTTTAGTGCTTCTTCCTTGAAATGAGTTAAGTTAAGAATTGCAAGTAGAAACACTTAGTGACAATTAGGAACAATATTATTTTTTGCCCCTTCTAGATGCACAAAGAAGCTTTGTTAGAAATGATTTTATTTCCATAAATCTTATAGCTAACCAATCATGAAATATTTCTTTAACAATTGCATCTCCCTGACACCTAAGCTTCTGCTACTGTAACAATCCTCCTCTTCTATGCATGACAAGAAGATTTGAATTCTAGCAAGCAACAGAAACCACCAAGTATCAACCCAGCATCAATCTTCTCTAGCCATGCAATTCCCTATTGTTTATAGCCTTTTTCACTTAATTTCTATGATCCCCATACGCCACTACACAATGCCCCATGTTTGGAGTCTCAAACTGCTGCAACTGCAGGTTACAGCTCATGGCGTCAAGGAACCAAGCTTTATGTTTGGTGACTGGATAATGGGCACCTAAGTGGCCAAAGATCCGGTTCCGAAGCACCATAGTCGCAGTGCCCAGGCGCCCACTAGCAGCTCCTAAGTGCCTTGCTCTCATGTTTTGGCTCCTTTCTACACTATTTATGGTGCCTAGGCTCCAGGTCCATGCCTGCTACACCACTTCAATATTGTGCCATTAGCTACAAAATAAACAAAAAAAAAACGTTCTTCACAATTTAATTTCATCAATAAAATGTATAAAAATAATCCAACTTGCTAGACAAATTATACACACATACTAATCAATTATAATTATGATAGCATTTAAGTTATATTAATTTAATTTCAATATTTACTAAATCATCTCATTCAACTTTACTTAAACCATTGAACCTTGAACTTCTCTATTTTCTAAGTATATTTCTAATATGTTATTCAAAATAATTAAAATATGTAACACTATATCCAAACTTCTTAAATTTAGAGTCAGAGGGGAACATTAAGGTAGAGACAAAGCTATATGAAGAGGGAGAAGCACCATTAGAATTGATTGAATCTTGTAGAAGAAGAAGACAGAGGTGGAACTTCATTAGAGGGGAAGTTGTGGGCTGAAGTCAGTGGGTGAAGGAAAATGAACTGCAAGCTAGTCAAATGAGATAAAGAGCCTGCAAAATTAGAGATATTAACAGTGTTGGAGATGATATGGGAGGCAAGGCAGTAGGTCGAGGGCATTGGTTGAGGTCCCAGCAATGTAATTACTCAATCGATCGAGGCAGGGAGCACACAAAAGATGACCTTGAACTATGGGTGCAATGAGTTTTGAATTCACCCAATTTAAATACATTCAATTCAAAAAATAGGTTTTTGAGGATAATTCTAAATTCTTATGATAATATTTTATATTCATTATAATTTATAGTAAAAACTCAAAATCCATCCATTTAATATGAGTAAATTAGGAAAAAAAATTCACAATAACAAAACATGGAGCTCACATCTTAAAAAAGAAGGGAAGCCCCGTAAATCATGCATTCCCTTTTAATTCCACCGATAGTTTGCCAAATCAAAAAGCCGACTTTATTTATCGCGTTTCGGCTCCAAGCTCACTCCCCCTCCCGCCTATATAAACGTCAGAACACCTCTTCCCCCACATGCAATTTTCCACAGGCTTACCCTGTTCCCTCTGTTCTCCGCCCAAAAACCATGGTGGTCCTCGCCAATCCATCCCCAGACAACATATTCCTCCACAAATCTTCCAAGCCTTGCGCCTCCTTCTCGGACGTCCCCGTCGTCGACCTGACCGGCCCGACCGCCGGCTCCGATATCGTCACGGCTTGCAACCAATTCGGCTTTTTTAAAGTCACCAACCACGGCGTCTCCAAAAGCCTTGTTGCCAGAGCAGAGGCTGCCGCCATGGATTTCTTCGCCTTGCCCCAATGGGAGAAGGAGCAGGTCTGCATGGCCAAACCTTACGGCTATGGAAACAAGCAGATTGGCTGCAATGGCGACGTCGGATGGTTAGAGTATCTTCTTCTCGAGGTCCCCAACTTATTCGGATGCAGCTCTACTCTGAAGGAGTACGTGTCGGAAATGAAGAACTTGGCGTCTGGAATGCTTGTGTTAATGGCGGATGGGCTGGGATTGGAGCAGAGGAATGCGTTCAGTAAATATATAGACGATGAGAGAAGCGATTCCTTCTTCAGGCTAAATCACTACCCTCCATGTCCGATGTTGCAGGGATTCAACAATAACCTGAACGGATTCGGGGAGCACACGGATCCGCAAATCATTTCGGTTCTGAGATCGAATAACTCGGATGGGCTTCAGATTTGTCTGAAAGATGGAAGCTGGGTCTCCGTTGCTCCGGACCAGGATTCCTTCTTCGTTAATGTGGGCGATTCTCTACAGGTGAGTCAAATCCGTGTCTTTTGATAGATGCTTATTGCTATTGCCAGTTATAGAGAAAGGTAAAACAGAAGTACTACACCCTGCACAGCGGCTTGGATGCGGTGGAAGAGGGGAGGAATCGGATCCGCCCTTCTCGTTATTTTCTAGCCTCAGAGTTGTTATACAAAGTTACGATAGATTATTAAATGAGCATAGCTCAAAGTTTTTTCTTGGACATAGGTATAAGACCAGTGTCTAAAGGTTGGGAGTGGGATGTCATAATTCATTAAAGTTGGTCTTAAAATTGATCTCAAAAGATGAGAATAAGATGTCATACCCCATTTAAGGTGGTCTTATACCTATCTCGAAGAAATTTGGGATAGATTTATATTTTGATTATTTTTTTCTTCTTTTTCACTTAGGATTCAACAAAAATAATAAATTTAGAGGTTAATATGGGATTACTTTTATTTTTTTATTTTATATTAGTCTTTTTTTTATTTTATTTTATTTTATTTATGTACTGTATAGAAACAAAATATATTTGACATATTTTTGTTAAAATATGTTAATCATTTGTTAAATAAAAAATAAAAAATATGTAAAAATTACTGTAAATAAATATATTTTTTAAATTTAAAATAAAATAATAAAATATAAAAAATAAAAATGAAAAACAAAATCAATCAGAAATGATTCCTTGGTTCGTTCGGCCAACTAAATCTGATTGCTGGGTGCTAGTCTTCTTTCCCAATATTTTCAATTCAAATTCTAGCACATATATGGGTTAAAAAAAAGGGATAATTTCATGCACGCTATGAGAAACATTGATATTTATAAATTAATGGATCATATGATGATCTACTGAGAATTTGATAAAAAATGAAAATATTGTTCAACGTTTTATCATGAATTTTAACATATGTGTGACTATTTGAAAAAATAAATGAAAGATGATGATTAATTTGTAAATAGTAATGTAATTGACCGAATAAAAATTATAGTTAGAAAAATTGAGAGATAAGTGACACGGCATAGAAAAAAAATTTTCCATTTTATTTATGTCCATCAATTAAAGTTAGGACACGTATACTTGAAAATATGGATCAATCTCCCTACCTTTTTGTGTGAAGTTCTTTCGAGAATCAAGCTTTTACTTAATTTAGTCATTCCATTGCATTTACGAACCTCGGTGTAGTCAAGTTCTAGTTCAAGTCACCATGAAGAAAGACCTTATTGTTGAATAATCATGGCATGCATCACAATCATAACAATAGAGGAGGAGACGGATTTCAATTTGATTTCCCTTATCTTTATAATCTCTCAACTCCAAGGAATCAGGTGCGTGTTGTTGTCACTGTTTATTCATTGTGTGAAAAGATGGGATTTGTGGGTCGGACTTCCAAGTCAGCTGTCATCTTGGACTGATTTGATTGATTAAATTTTTTTTTTTTTTTTTTTATGGTTAAAAGAAAAATAAATACATCAAATATGTGATCAACGTGGGTATTGAATTTGTTAGTTTGTTTGATGGCAGGTGCTGACCAACGGGAGATTTCAGAGCGTTAGGCATAGGGTGGTGACCAGCGGCAAGAGGTCGCGGTTGTCGATGATATATTTCGGCGGGCCGCCGCTAAGTGCGAGGATTGGGCCTCTCCTCAAGCTTCTTGGAGAGGAAGAACGGAGCAGGTACAGGGACTTCACATGGGCCGAGTACAAGACTGCTGCCTTCAACTCCCGACTTGCAGATGACAGGCTCGTCTATATATATATATATATATATAAGGATTGTAGTGAAAAAAAAAATATTAGATGAGGACCTGCATTTGGGGTCCTTATCTCTCCAAATGGACAGATTATTACGTTTGTCGTTTTGATCCCGAGCTATATTTGGGCAACGGCCGTGATACAAAGGAGGTATGACACTGCCATGACGACGGATATAATAATTTTTCCTCCAATTGGGGACTGGAGGTGCGTGTTCCGTGGACAGAGGGAGAAGTCGTTGGTCTGTTTTCTATGTAGTCGAAACTTTAGGCTGTGTTGGGACACTGTGTAGGTCAAAACAGCCTGGCTCTGCTGTTTAGCTTTAACTATTTGCTAATTATGGAAACAAATAGGTTTATTTTGTTTTCCTAGCAGCCTTCACTCTATTTAATGGCAGCATCGGGGCTTAGATTGGAGCAGCTGTCTTCAGATGCAATGATTTTTTGTTTTATTTTTATGTTTTTTTAACGATGAAAGAAGAATTTAATATAAGTGAATTTTAAGATGAGGATATTTATAATGATTCTTAGATATTGCATGTCCAAAATTAGTTGGCAATTGTTGCATACAGTTAGCGAGTATAAGAATTTATAGAGATACAAAAGAGGGTTTGCCAAGTTGTTAAAAAAATGTACTAGAGTAAATTTTTGTTAGAGGCTTCACTTTCTTAACTAACTACAATAAACAAAAGAAAGGTTAGGAAGATTTACATATATACAACATATTTTTTTGTATTTACTTGTAATAGTTAAAATTTAATTTTTACATATGTGTCATATTATATTATTGAATCTAAAATTGTCCTGTGAGGCATGCCTAAAGATCGGAGTGATAGGAAGAGAGAAATAAAGAGAGAGATAAGGAGGTAAAAAGGAAATAAAAGAGCACATAGAGACTTGTCTCGTAAGGGCGAATTGAGGTATTCCTGGGCTCTGTAACCCATTTTATATATGAAAATAGAGGTTACAAGAGAGAATGAGAGAGAATTCTCCCTATTAGGTATAGGTCTAGGAGGAGCTAAAAAGCCCCTTTTATATGTATTGGACCCCTATTTATAGAGAATAGGGGGTTAAGTAAAAAATTGCATAGCTGCCTGTTCTTTAATAGAGGGGTTACAAGATATTCTCATATTTTATTATATGTTTTCATATTTAAAATTGATCCTGATATCTTTTCTTATGAAACAAACCATCTAGTAGGCAGGTCATCGTGTTAGTCGATGTTGACTTCATTTTTTGTGAGATCTAGCCTTCCACTTAGCACTTAGGATCTAGCGACGGGACTTTTTCATTGACTGTCCTAGAGGACTAGTGATGAAACCTGAACCGACCCACAATTACGCAGTTATTTAGATTCCAAAAGTTGACCAAAAACTTGATCGAATATATTTTAACGGCTAGTGTGCACAATAGATATGTTATAGAACTTAGAATTTGATAAATAATCTACATATTAGGCGTATTACGCAAATATACATATCATTTCACGTAACATAGGATTTTCATTTAAAACCACAATATCGATCCTAATGAGAAGGTGAAACTCTTTTTATCCAAAACTCTTTTTATGACTTAGGAAAACTTTACTTAAACTCCAAACAATTATGTTGAAAATATGGCAGCAAGTTTAGGTGTAAAAAAAGTTATTCAATCCCTATTAATTCTATTTCAAAGCTAAAAGAAAATGTAAGCTTTCTAAACTAGTTTTATGAAGAAGATTTCAAATTAAGTGAAAGTTCTTTCCCCATGCAAAGAGATCATAATCAGTGTATGAATCAAATAATTAAAGGTTAAAATGTAATTTTGTGTCAAATAGGAGCAATCATATTTCTTACCCTCTCCCAAGTGCATAAAGAACAATGGTTAATATAAAGTTAAGTTCCTAACTCTTAGGTTATGCTGGATATATTCTAGCCTCTCGCCTCTAGATTACCCATTGTGCCCTCTCTATAGGACTAGTCAGTCCTTAGGTTCCAAACTATAGATCAAATTGGTTATGGTTCTAGCCTCCTACCTTAGAATCTCCAATTTACGCCCATCAAAACTTATCTCTCTATCTATTTGCACTAACTCATGGATTACCTTTTCACCCGCGAGATGAATGTGATTCTTATTAGTTGAAAAACACATAACCCTCCCGGGTCATTCTGGATTCAAAACAAGTTTTAGAATTTCAATTGGCCAAATTTAACATGTAAATGAAGTATGAAGTAATGAATCATCACAAGTATGGAATATAAGAAATTTTAAGCAATCCTAATCCTACACATGATTACCACTTATTGCAATGAGAAATATAAATGAAACTACTCAGAATTCATGGGGATAACACAACAAAATATGTATTATTTTAAAAATCCAAGTCTTCACAAATAAATTTACAAAAAGAAGAAGAAGTAAAACAAGTAAAGTACAAAGTACTTATCTGAGACTTCTCCCCAAGCAAATCCTTTGAATTTCCTTCTTTGAATTTCCTTTGACTTCTTACTCCAATAAACACACCAAAACACACACTATAAAGACATTCACTCACAACTCACACACACACCCAAGAGAGCCACATGCCCTCTCCTAAACTCTTCACCACCAACCAAAAGCCTTGCTTCAACACCACACACACACTACAAAAACCTTTTTCAACTAGCCAGTTGTTCCTTTAATAAAGTCCTTAAAATCACCAAGAGTCACTTCAAGCACCTCTTCAAATTCATCAAAATTCATTGCACAAAAGTCCAAACCGTTTCTAGCACCTAGGCAACTGTGGCGCTTAGGCGCCGGCCTTCTAAAAGCCTATTTTAACTACCTGGCGCCAGGTCACTTTTTGCTCCTTTACTCCATTTGACCCTATTTTTCTCATTTTTCTCTTAAACTCTATTTTTTGTACCTGAAATAAAAAAAAAACAAAATAATTTCCATTAAAGCGCAATATCTATAAATATGAGCATAAAATGTATATATAAAAATAGCACATTTTAAGGCGTGTCAATTCCCCCAAACTTAAACGTTACTTGTCAAGTAATCCATCTATTTTGTAACATAAACACTTTAACTTATGGTAATGGGTTTCATTAATATTACTATACTTTTGTCCCATAAATGTGATCATGAAACTTCTAGAAAAAATTTTCAGTAACTCGGGATATAACTAAGGTGTAAGAGTATCTAGTACTTAACTTAGGAATTTTAATTTTCTATTCATATAAAAAATAATTGTAATTTGTCAAACTTAGGAATCTTAGAAGAATTAAAAGATATATTTTTACTAGTAAATATTTTAACTAATACATTTAAAATTAAGAATAAGCTTAGAAGTGTAAGTATGTTTCTTCCTTTAAGATAATTCAAGTGAAGCCCACTTTTAATTAGGCATCTCCTCACATATTTTTTTTTACTTTTCTTTTTCTTTTGAGTTTTCTTTTTGTTTTTATTTCAGAATCATTTTTAGTCATTTCTTTTCTTTTCTTTTTCATATGAGGATCTCTATATCAGGTAGTCTTTAATGATTTTGAATTTCACTAACTTATTCCTAAAGTTAAAAATTACTCACATTTCTTAACTTAATAATGTGTATTAGTATAAAATAATTTTTCATGGAGTCTCAAATTCTTTTTAAAGTGTAAATCTAAGATCATTAATGTTTCAAATATTTAATTTTTCCTTCTCTGAATAGTGAAAGCATATTCCTAAACTTCTGCACTAAATATCTTAACTCTAAAACTGCCCTTAATTACTAAGAATTTTTACTTAAGTTTACTATAACATTTTATAGAATTAAAAATATATTTTTCTAAAAATTAACACCATATACCACATGCTATGTTAAAATAAATTTTAAATATAATTTATTTGAGGACAAATAAAGTTTATTTTTAAAATGTGTTTCACCCTCCCCAAACTTTAACTTTTAAATAGTTTAAAACATTTTAGTACAAAACATGTAGAAGAGAGAAACATTTATAGCTTAATTATCTATCAGAGGGTTCAAAACATGAAAATAATACAGGTACAAGTAATAAAAATAAAATTGTGTGGCAGTATGTAAATCTCAATTAAACATATTTAGCATGAAAAGTACAAAGTAAAGAATTACTATCACACACAAGCAGTATATATATATATATATATATATGAAGTGGAGCAAAAGAAAAATAGTAGTGCAATAAAAAGTCCAAAATCCACTTAAACAGTACACATAAAATTAAAATGTCCAATACAATCTAAATAATTAAAAAACAACAATACCTGCGGAAAGTAAATACAAACATCATAATCACTCCTCCTCCTCCTCCTCCTCCTCCTCCTCCTCCTCCTCCTCATCATCATCATCCTGATCCATAGCCTTGCGGTGTTCAAATATCTGATAGGGAAGATAAGCAGGGAGCTCTACATTTTGGTCTCCTCTCAAAAATCTCATTAGGGATGTATTGAAACTCGCTTCATAGTCACTTTTGCATTTCAAATAATGTTCCAAATGCTCTTAATGTTCTTCATTCTGTTGAAGCTGACACTGTACAGAAAGTATATCACCTTGTTGTATCTGTAACTGCTCCATTACAGTGTCCAAACTAGAGGTAGAAGGTCTCAAAGCTGAAGTAGATGGAATATCATAAGCTCTACCCCAAGATCTTCCATATAAATCCATATTAGTCTTACAAATATTTTTTAGTGGCAGTAGTAGCTTTTCCTAAGTCTCATATTTAACCCTAAAATGTTTGCAAATAGTAAAGTTAAGGACTTGTAGAAGTAAGAGCTTTGGCGGATGAAAATAGCTTTGTAGATGAGAGATGTAACATCAACAAGTTTCATATCTTTGAATGTAATAATTTAGAATGCTCTCTCGAGTCACTTCACTCAAATGATTTGTAGGAAGCAATAGAGATGAAATAAAAGAATGTCATGCTTAAATGGGGCATTAAGCATAGAAGAGGAAAAATTTACGCTATGCCCATTCTTAACTTTCCGTGCTCTATGCCCATTTATTAGTCATGC